GCGGGGCTCGATCCCAGGACCCTGGGATCATGACCTGAGCCGAAGGCAGACGCTTAACGACTGAGCCACCCAGGCGCCCCGATTCTTTTCATATCTTTACTATTGTAAATAATGCTGCAATGAACACAGGGGTGCATATATCTTGATGAATTAGTGTTTTTGTTTTTTTTCTGATAAAATGTCCAGAAGTAGAATTGTTGAATCATATGGTAGTTCTGATCACTTTTTATTTTATATTATTGACTATATTCCCTATGCTATATTTTTCATCTCCTTCAGTTAGTTATTTATCTTATAACTGGAAGTTTGTTATTTTTAATTTTTTGATGAAACTCCATACTGTTTTCCATAGTGGTTGTACCAATTTACATTCCTTCCAACAGGGCATTTGGGTTCCCTGTTCTCCACATCTTTACCAGTCTTCACTAACACTAGTTATTTCTTGTCTTTTTGATAATAGCCATTCCAACAGGTGTGAAGTGATAAGTCATTGTGGTCCTGATTTGCATTTCTCTGATGACGAGTGATATTGAGTACTTTTTCATGTGCCTGTTTGCCATCTGTATTTCTTGGAAAAAATGCCTATTCTGATCCTCTGCCCATTTATTAATCAATTGTTTTGTTTTGATGTTGAGTTGTATGAGTTTGGATATATAATTTGCAAATATTTTCTCCAATTCAGTAAGTTGCCTTTCATTTTTATGATGATTTCCTTTGCTGAAGCTTTTCAATTTGCTGTATTCCTACTTGTTTATTTTTGCTTTTGTTGCCTTCACTTTTGGAGTCAGATCTAAAAAAAAAATTGCCAAGAATGATATCAAGGAGCTTACTGCCTATGTTTTCTACTAGGAGTTTTATGGTTTCAGGTCTTAAAGTCTTTAACTCATTTTGAGTTTATTTTTATGTATAGTGTAAGAGAACAGTCTAATTTCGTTCTTTTGCATATGGCTGTCCAGTTTTCCCAACACCATTTATTAAAGAAACTGTCCTTTCCCCATTGTATATTCTTGCCTCTTTTGTTGTAAGTTAATTGGCCATATATACATGGGTTTATTTCTGGGCTCTTTATTCTGTTCCATTGATCTCTGTGGCTCTTTTTAAGTGAGTACCATATTGTTTTCATTATTATAGCTTTGTAATATAGTTTGAAATCAGGGAGCATGAAGCCTCTAGCTTTGTTGTTCTTCTCAAATTGCTTTGGCTATTCATGGTCTTTTGTGGTTCCATACACATTTGAGGATTATTTGTTCTGTCTTTTTGAAATGTGCCATGGGAATTTTGACAGGGATTGCATTGAGTCTATAGATTGCTTTGGGTAATATGGACATTTTAATATTAATTCTTCCACTCCATTAGCACAGAATGTCTTATATTTATTTGTGTCTTCAATTTCTTTTGCTAATGTCTTACAGTTTTTAGCATACAAGTCTTTTACCTCCTTGGTTAAATTTATTCCTAGGTTTTATTCTTTTTGATGCAATTATAAATGAGATTTTTAAAAAATCTCTGATAGTTCTTTGTTAGTATATAGAAATGCAATAGATTTTTGTATGTTAATTTTTTACCCTGCAACTTTACTGAATTTATTAGTTCTAACAGCTTTCCAGTGGAGTCTTTAGGGTTTCCTATAGATGCTATTGTGTCATCTTCAAATAGTGATGGTTTTACTTCTTCCCTTCCAATTTGGATTCATTTTATTTCTTTTTCTTGCCTAATTACCATGGTGAGGACTTCTAATACTATATTGAATAAAAGTAGTAGGAGTGAGCATCCTTACCTTGTTCCTGATCTTAGAGGAAAGACTTAGCTTTTTACCATCTAGTATGATGTTAGCTGTGGGCTGTCATTTATGGCCTTGATTATGTTGAGGTACATTCCCTCTGTACCCATTTTGTTGAGAGTTTTTATCATAAATGGATGTTGAATTTTGTCAAATGCTTTTTCTGCATCTATTGAGATGATCTATGATTTTTATCCTTCATTTTGTTAATGTGGTGTATCCTTTTGATTGATTTGCAGATGATGTCAAACCATTTCTGCATCCTTGGAATAAATCCCACTTGATGATCCTTTTAATCTATTGTTGAATTTAGTTAGCTACTATTTTGTTGAGGATTTTGCATTTATGTTTATCAGGGATATTGGCCTGTAGTTTTCTTTTTTTGTGGTATCCTTGTAAAATAAGTTAGGAAGCATTCTCTCCTCTTCTGTTTTTTGGAAGAGTTTGAGAAGCATTGACATTAACTCTTCTTTAAATATTTGTTAAAATTCACCAATGAAGCTGTAGCTCCTAGACTCTTGTTTGTTGGGAGGTTTTCGATTACTGCTTTAATGTCCTTACTAGTAATCAACCTATTCAAATTTTTATTTCTTCATTATTCAGTCTTAAAAGATTGTGTTTCTAGGAACTTATCCATTTCTTCTTGGTTGGCCAACTTGTTTGTATATAATTGTTCATAGTAGTCTCTTATGATCCTTTTTTATTTCTGTGGTATCCGTTGTAAATCTTTTTTTTTTTATTTGAATCCTATTTTTTCTGAGTTAGTCTAGCTAAAAGTTTGTCAACTTTATCTTTTCAAAGAACCAGCTCTTAGTTCATTTATCTTTTTTTTCCCCCCAAGTTCCTTGAAGTATAAAGTTAGATTGTTTGAGATTTTTCTTGCTTTTTGGGGTAGGCTTATATCACTATGAACTTTCCTCTTTGCTACATCCCAAAGATTTTGGTAAGTTGTATTTCCATTTTCATGGTATTTTTTTTATTTCTCCTTTGATTTCTTCATTAATACATTGGTTATTCAGTAGCACATTGTTTAATCTCCATATTATTGTGATTTTTCAGTTTTCTTCTTCTAATTGATTTTTAGTTTCATATCATTGTGGTCAGAAAAAATGCTTGATATGATTTCAGTCTTAAACTTATTGAGACCTGATTAGTGACCTAACATACATAATCTATGCTAGAGAATGTTCCATGTGCACTGAGAAGAATATATGTTGTGCTGCTTTTGGATAGAATGTTTTGTATGTATCTATTTAGTCCATCTGGTCTAATGTGTCATTAAAGGCAAGGCCATTGT